CTTGCCGCCCCCCGGCCTCCCCCGTGTCCCTGGAGCCCCGGCACGGGGGCCCTGCACGGCCAGACCACCGGTTACTACCCCCCAGCCCTCCCCCGGTCCCGGTCCCGGGTGCGCTCTCACCATGGCGGCAACGCTGAGGCAAGAGAGCCGGGACCGATTGCTTCCGGGTCAGAGGCTGCTGGGAACCGGAAATGCGTCACCGTCGCTATGGCGCCCATGGGTGAGCTTCCGGGGCTGTGAGGAGAGTCTGGCGGGAGGGGAAAGGGTCTGCCCTGAGCGGGATAACGGGTTGTTTGGGTTTTTTTTTCCCTCAGGAAGGGAAATAATTACCGGCTGGGCCCCTGAGAGGGGGACATGGCGACATCCTGGGCCCCGCGGGGGTCTTCCCTGAGGGGGGAGCAGGGCTGCGGCCTGGGCCCTGCGGAGGGGGAATGTGTCCGTGGGTTTGCTCTGCTGTGGGGCCTCTCCTGAAGGGAGAAAGTGGCCGTAGGTTTCTCTGTGGGAGCAATGTGGCCACGGACTCGGCTGGCTGAGGTGTTTTCCTCCAGGGAGTGTGGCCGCAGACTGGGCCCTGTGAGGGGCCTTCCTTGAGGGGGATGTGTCCCCAGGCCGGGCTTGCTGCAGGGTTTATCCCCGAGGGGAATGCGGGAGCAAGCCTAGAGCCAGGGCCCTTCGCGATGAAGAGCAGCAGTGAGCTGGGCTGGGGAAGGTTGGTCTCTGATGGGGATGGCGTTGGGCCATCTTTCCCCCACCTCTGTGGGGAGATGAGGATGGGCTGAGCGGGCCCTCCGAGGGCGGTGATGGCAGACTGGCATTCCCCTGGGGCCATCAGGCGACTGAGCCCAGGCTGTGCCGCAGGAGAAGCAGTGGCACTGGTGCTGGTGGCCGTGCTGTGGGGCAGCACCGGGCCGTTCCTGCGGACGGGCGCGGAGGGGCTGGAGGAGGTGCGGCGCCAGGGCCGCCTGCAGCAGCTGCTGGCCGAGATCCGCTTCCTGGGCCTCAACTACAAGGTACAACCCTGTCCGGGCTCCTGGGCCAGGGAAGTAGCTGGGTGTCAAACCGCCTTTGGGTTCATTCCTACCTGTTTACTTCTAGACTCGATACTACTCTTTAAACTGCTAAATATTCCGTCTATCATCAGAATTATTTATCCTCAGTAATGTTTCATTTACTTGCCTCGAGCACTGCTCTTCCCATGCAGAACTGAGACCACTTTTCTAGGCGGCAGGTCATTAACCCTCATGTTTTGCATGACATAAGCACAGTGTGCCTTCTGCAGATTGGGGAACTAAAACACTGAGAAGCTTGTGACTGGCAGCGGCATCGCCCCTGTGCTGCATTTCCGCTGCCAAACATGGCACGAGGCTGGGCTCCTTGGCTGCCCCCTCGCTGGGGGCACACGGTGGGTTTGTGGGCAGCAACTGACAGGCCCCTGTTCTTCCCACAGTACATGGTGCCGTTTCTGCTCAATCAAGGTGGATCTCTCCTCTTCTACCTCACCTTGGCATCTGCAGGTTAGTTCCTGTTGCTTTTATGGAGTGGGTTGATTGGGATTTTGGGAGGATCAATGCTATTGACTACTCTAGTGATCCAGCTAAATATCGAACAGCTATCTTGTAATAATCAAAAGCACCTTACGATTCGTACAAGATTTTCCATTTTAAACTGTTTGTGTTAAAATGGTTCAATTTCAGATCTGTCCCTGGCTGTCCCGCTCTGTAACTCCCTGGCTTTGATAGTCACACTGGTGACGGGGAGGATTCTGGGAGAGGACATCGGTGGTAAAAGTAAGTTACACTTAAAACATTTCCTCACATTGTCTTCTGCATCCATTTGCTGACTTAATAGCGCTGAGGTACACAAGGGCTCTAAGTAGTTCTTGCTACAGAACCTAAAAGGGAAGTGAAACAGAGTTTTAAGTGGGAAAGCTAGTAAATTTGATTGGCTACTCTAAGGTAACAGAGTTTACAGGCCTGAGCCATTGCCTAACTAGATGGTTAACCACAAGAGAGGCACTAGATAACATGCCTGCCACAGAAGAGGATGCTCCGTAAGCCCTCAGATGTCACCACCCATCATTCTTTCCTTCCCTAACATCCTACAATAATATACCCTGCTCAGAAAGTCAGAAAATGGCAGAAAACTTGAAAGTTTAAAACTACCAGCACCTGGCACGATATCTGTAGGAATACACTAAAGTGTTTCTGTTTGTTTAAGCCTGATTCTCGGTAGCCAGACATACAGCATCTGCAATGCTTTGTTAGAAACATGCTTAGCTCAATTACCCAGGCGGTCCAAACACCCAAACCCCTTCAGAAGTGGCTTGGTCTGAGTTGTATCCATCCAGACATTTATGCTATCCTATTTACTGTGACATCTGAGCATCGTGCAGTTAGCAATGAGAAGGTTTGACTGACTATTGTTGAATTATGCAAGTTCACAAAATATTCATTTCTGTAGGGGCTGTGGCAGGAATGCTGCTCACCGTCCTAGGCGTCATGCTCTGCGTAGCTGGGTCATGAAGGAGACACGGTGAGAAGCAGAGGAAGGAACCTGCTCAAAGGTAACCCCCGTGGCCGAAGGGGGAGCTTCTGGCTCGGCAGCTTTGGCTCAGTTGCACTTATGAAGCTGTATTTTGACATAAGAATGTCAAAAAACATGAAAGTGTGGACTGTGTTCCCTGAGCACCAGGGTGGAACAAGGCATGTTGCAAGGACATCCTATTTAATGTCTTCCATTAAGGAATTATTTTGTCTGTGGGTGTTTCAAGGCAAGGATGAGCGTATTGTCTTGTTCAGCACTGGGGGGATAATAAACGGATAATAAATTGTTCAACAGGAGCTTCTGGGACCAACAGTTTTTTCTGTAGGAGGAATCTCTCTAGAAACTCTCCCTTTCATGGCCAAGCAGGTGAACGTGGCTCCCTCACAGCGCTCAGGAGTAACCTGCCAGGTCACACACACAGCCACTCACACCAAGGTCACCACGTGGCTTTTCTCCACTGCAGTCTGGTGGGGTGCCTCACGTCTGTAAAATACCAACAGGGCAATGCCCTAGGGTAGGGAAGGGAGGTCTTTTTTTCAGTGAAATTATCAGTCCACAATACCACACAGATCACAGGAAAAATCTCTGTTACCCTTGTAATTGATGAGAATATAGAAAGCTTTGCACAAAGAGGGTTAATATAAGAGCTGTTTATTACTATGACTTTTTCTAAATCGGGCAGCTTATCTGTCCCTCTCCTGTCACACTCTCTCTGTGAACTCTGAAGAGCTCTTTGCTGCCCAGGGAAACATCGTTGAGTGCTGTTCCTCCTCGGAGGCACTGGCATCCCTTTTCCTTGCCACAGTCTTTTGTGATTTGTCTGCAGTCCACGCCTTTTTGCAGCGAGAAAGAAATACAGTTTTTAACGCAGCATTCTGCTATTACAGAAAGATTCTGAGACTAAATTCCTGGATTCTGCTTCCAGTCTCCCCACAGCTTTGGTATGCAAACTTGGGGCTCTACATTAAATTCAAAGGTAGTTGATTTAATGCCTAATGAGTCTCTCCCACTGCAGAGGAGAGCTGTGACAACCAAATAACAGTAACTGTGGAACAAGTGTGATGGGGGGGGGGAATGGACAATGGAAAACAGAGGCATCAGAGTACCCACCCCCTTGAGAAATGCTGGCCCAGCCCCTAAAGCAAACACAGCACCAGGCTCCCCATCGAGCCAAGGGGTCAGGAACCATTAGCTAATTCTTTACTGGGGCTTTCTCCAATTTAAGTTCAAAGGAGTTGTTTTCCTTTGAAGTTCTAATTAATCCAAAGAGACTAGCCAGGCAGAAGCATGAATCACCTACGATATAATGCACATCATCCCATTACATCAATTCTAAATGTCCTTATGAAAAGTTTAAAACATTACTACACCACAAATAATAAGCATCTTGCAGACATTTTACACAGAGAATTTTGTTTTAAAAAAGACCTACATTTTTCCCTTTAAAAAAAAAAAAAGGTTTAAAACTTATTTCTATCTAATAAATGTCTTCAGTGATTTTATGAATTACATGCTTATTCTGTGCCAGCCTTTAAGCTTCACCTGGCTACAGGTAAGTTCTGCTTAACAAGTTATATTTGGGGGTCCTGAATTTTAGTGTAGGAAATGTGAACACAGACAGGAAGGATCTTAAACACTTCACTGAGTGAAGTTTATTCCATTAAGTGGAGTAAATACCTTTTTGCTGTGTATTGTTCTGGCTTTTGGTGTAAGTTCTTCTGCAACTCTCTGGGACAGGAGTAAGAATAGAAATAGTACACATTAAAAAAAAAAAAAAAATCCAGGAAAGCCTTTGCTATCCTTACTGAGTGGGGAGCTGTAACTTTCACATCCCAGAAGGGAAAGGTTCATTACCCAAATGACAATCCCCAAATGACTAGAAAATGCAGAGCTCTGCAGTTACACACCGTCCTCTGCTTCTGAAGTTCCCCCTGGTGGTTACTTTCATCTTTACACATTGCAGAGAGAGTACAGGGCTTCCCAAACCTAACAGGACTTAAAACAAGTGAGAAAACAGAAGGGCTTCCCCAAAGAGTTGCTATAAACTGCTGGATGGTGTGTTCTCACAGGCTGTCTCTGAAGGACTAGATTCTAGTGGGACCACGCGCGCTCCCCTGCAGCAGTGAGACTCCAAACAGGGCAAGAAATCATTTCTCATACCTGATCTATGGGTACATCCACCCTTGTGTGTTTGTCCTTCTTTACTTCCTGGGCACCTCGCCCAAAGAGTTGCTATAAACTGCTGGATGGTGTGTTCTCACAGGCTGTCTCTGAAGGACTAGATTCTAGTGGGACCACGCGCGCTCCCCTGCAGCAGTGAGACTCCAAACAGGGCAAGAAATCATTTCTCATACCTGATCTATGGGTACATCCACCCTTTTGTGTTCGTCCTCCTTTACTTCCTGGGCACCTCGTATCTCAGTCCTAGGATTTCTGGGTTTGTAGACAATTTCTTCTGTGAGGAGAAGAAAATTAAAAAGCTGTTCAATGGGTATTGCAGAGAGCCATGGCCTGGTCTTGCTGAGGCTACAGAAAGGTCCTCGTGTGTGCCCAGATGAGGAAAGGAAAGAAGCAGAAATACAGAAGTTACTGGATGCATCATTACTTTCTCTCAGTGCATCTGCAGTTTTCTCCTGTAGCATCCAAGCAAAGCAAATTATTTATAGCAGTGTCCTTTACCTTGATCAGGCCAGTGCTGTGCATTCCTGGTGCTGCTCCTCCTGTTTTGTCCCGCACGGACAGGTTTAACGTGGAAAACGTTCTCTTCCTCTTTGAGGCGAGATTTCCTGGCTTGCCTTTGCAGTTGTGGAAAAGCAGCTGGGAGCTTGTCTTTCTCTGCAGGTCCTGTGGCCTGCAACCTGTCCAGCTGAAAGTATTCATCACACACTTCTGATAGGCCTTCTTGATACAACAGTTTATAAAACAAGAAAAGTTTTGCAGGGCAATCCCCCTAAACACCTCCAGGTACCTCCTGGCTGGTATTAACACTGTAATTAACACTGGTAGTAACGCTGTATTCTCTGACTGGGGTTTTAAGGTGATACTACAAGTATTAGGGAACGCACAAAACACTTTCTGCAATCACTACTATCTGTTGAGGTGGTTCAGAAGAGCAAAGTCACCAGCACTCACCTGGGAGGTGGCACAGAGCTCACCAAACTGAAAACAAACAAGGAAAAGGAAAATTTAAAAGCAAATAGCACAGATGCACATTTCAACAGACAATCCAGGGCAGCCCAGCTGCTCTATCTCGTCTCTGCTGGCCATTTTACCCATGGAGTGAGCAAGAAAGGTATCCTGGCTCCAGAATTAACCCCCCCTGCCCTTCAGCCAAAAAGGGGAAGTGAGAAACACCTTAAGGAGTTTTTCTTCAGGCAGCAAGATTTAATTCAAGCGTGATCTGGCCACATGGCTGTTTGTAGGGCCTCTCCCTTGGGAATGGTGCCAAGCAAGGATGGTGTAGCCGTGGGAATTGGAGAATGGAGATGGGGGTAACATCCACTGCTCGTGGAGGGACACCTACACCAAAGCAACTGCGATCGCAGCACAAACAGTCCCGTGCCAGCCGAGCCACCTACCCGTCTGTGGTATGTTTTGTGCCTGCTGTTTGGGTAGTTCCTGTAAGAAAGAAGCAGCAGATTCTCAGCATCAGGCAGAAGTAAGTTGCAGGAGGCCTTGATCTCCACTTAAAAGAGAGTCCCTGGAGGTGCTTTTTCCCTCAGGGCAGGTAGAGGACACTCCACAGTGGCACGTGTTGCTGTTCTATCACGCTGCCCACCACAGCCCTGTGCTCCCCAGTGCCTGACAAACACTTAGCTGAGAAACACCCAAACCTCTTGCTTTCTCTGAACCTGAACTCGGGCTTTCAGGGGCCAGCCCTTACACTGAAAGCTTTGAAAACACATTCTTTCTTCCTGAACATCCCACACATGAAGCAAGACTCAAGGCCTTGAGGCAGAAAGCACTGAACAGGAGGGCAACAGAGAGGACGGGGGTAGCTGAAGACCACCATGGAGGTGATTCTAAACCACTCAGCCGCAGCTTACGTACCGCAGTGTCTCGTGCACAGAATCCTGGGGCACCAGCAGCTCAAAGTAAGGCAGTTTTTTGTACTCCTCATTTCCCACTGCCACGTAGTAATCGCCATTCACCAGCTCCTCCCCACCAGACACCTGGGTTCCGTCCAGCCTGCAGAGCCTTGAGGAAGAGACGGCCAAGGCTTTAGACCCATCTCAAGACTGTGAACAACCCCTCAGCGGGGAAGCAAACACACAAAGTGGTAAACAGGGCTGAGAAAAGTCAGAGGGGATCAATCATTCTTAGTGTTACTCCAAGGCAACACGCCGAAATGTTACACCCAGCGATCAGTGAGATGCAGTAGATCTCAGCTTTCTCTTTGGGTGTCAGTAAATAGATGTACAAGGAGAAGACAGGCTGTATTTGTTCTATAAAACCCGTCTCTCTAGACATAAACCACTTTTTATGTTTTACTGTTTGCTTATTGCTTTTTCACCAGACCACCATCAACACCAGCCCTTCTCACAAAGCATCACCATTGGGGTTACCTCCGATTTAAAGATGGGGAAACCTGAAAAGCAAATGAGATTGCAAAAGCAGACTAGAAACAGTTGTCTGAACTCCCAGTCCTCTGCTAATCAGAGCTGCTTGTGGTCTGGACAGAAGGGAAGAGGAGCCAGCAGTGTCTTATCTGGATACTCACTTACTCACAGCCCCGCTGTGCAGGTCGGCTCTCTCTGTGAGGGTGGCCAGGAGCGTGTCCCACTGCAGCGGGGTGCTCCGGGAGAGCAGCAGCGGGAAAGGGGGGCTCAGCAGATCCCCGTTCCGGAAAACACTGCAGTAGGAACAACCCAGAGCATGCAGTGAGTCAGTATTCCTGCCACTGTGGAAGGTGGGGGAAAAACCAAAAAGCTATCCACCACAAATAAAAGCTGGGAATTGTCCAAGTGGGGCAGCATTCCTGGGATCTCACATAGAAATTCCCTCCTCCAGCCTCTAGAAACATTCCCAGAGACCCTCCAAGGAGAAAACACCAAGGCACTTACTGTATCCTGCAGGGTGGGTGATTGCGCTTCTGCCATCGCGTTGAGACGTGCGACTTCCAGGGAGCTACAGTGAGGAACTAGAGAGGGAGTTCAGTGCACAAGAACAGGGACAGCCCTGCCACCGAGCCTCCTGGGGCTGGTCCCTTTTCTCCAGCAGGACCTGCTTGCCCTGGGATGCTGCCTGCCCAGCTTTCGGGCTCGCCGCTGCTGGGTGAGGTTTGTTGTCAGCAACACCAAGGCTGGAGAGGCTCTTCACATAGCTGAGTGCCTTCCAGAGCTGCCAGCAAATATCTGAGCACACATCCGTCCCCTGTACCCTTAAAGGGGACAGAGGGACACAGCAGCAGCCCCTGCGCTGTCTCACGGGTCCTATGGATTCTTCTGGCATTTTTGCCTGGTCCCCATGGGGCAGCCTTAAATCTCAACTTTAATTTCATCAGTGCCAGCCCTAACGTCTCTCAGGTCTCATTCTGCACTCCCACCTGTCACCACTCATCTCAGGGACTCACCTGCAGACCCTGGCTGTTCCTCGTCCCACGGAGATCCTTCCTTCCGTGATTTAAATAGCTGTGAGAAGAAGACAACGATGTTGCCACGTACCACCTGGGCCACATGGATGACTAAAGAGCAGTGAGAAAAGGAGCAACTGCTCTCTGCCTTGGTGCATCTCCACCAGATGCCTGGGTCACTTATTTGGGTCACTTTTAAAACAATCCTCTTCATCTCGTGGTCTCCCAGAACTTCAGGCTACATTAAAGTCTGCTACATTTAAGAAATTCCCAGCCAAATACAACCCACTTCAGGTCCTCGTTCTAAAGGCACCAGGAAAATGTTATTCCTTTGTGTTAATCACCGATCCAAGGGGGTGACCGGTGTTAATGCAGCCTGGAATATCTCCTCAACAAAACACAACTCACACCAGCAGCCAGATTCCTCTGACACACACACACACGGATCCCCTCAGGAGTCAAGCGATGCCACAAAACGCCCTTTAACCCTCTGTATTTCAGGATGAAACAAAGCAGCTCAACTTCGTGCAGCATTAGAAAACAAAAAAAAATAAACATGCAAAAGTATTTGTCAGTGGAGACGGTGTGACTGCCGGCTCTGCCGAGGAAGCGGGCAGCAGCAGAGCCTCCCACACACCACACAACGGGGTGCACGGGAGGCAGAGCAGCACCAAACAGCAACATCCTGCCACAGAACACACGGCGCCTCCCCCAACGTGTTTTCTTCTGCGAGTCAAGTGACCTTATCAGGAATATTTGCAGTTGTTTCCAGTAGGAAAAGAAACTAATCGGTCCGTTCTTCATTGCGTTTCTACCCCTCTCACCTCTTTTTTCCATTCACACCCCAATATGTTCCCCACAGAATGATCTAGAGGTGCTTACTGAACCCAGAGACCCAAGGGCCATCTACTCACTTGAGCCTTCTGAATTTTTCAAAGCCAGCAGCCACGTACTGGTGTCCATCCTGCAGGTCCCCCAGCTCAGCCACACGGCGCCCGTGCCTGGGCGTGTAGAGGTTCCTCACAGCCAAGGGTGCACAAATGCTCTTGGTCACCTCGTTCAGAAACGCCTCAAAGGTCAGGAACCGCCGCTGGTTCACTACAAACTTCCTCCCGGGGAAGAAGGGGTCACCGTTGCGATAAACCACCACGTTCTTGGCTGGAGGTGCCAGAGCTAAGCCACTGAGGCTCATCCCCAAGGATCAAGCAAGCCCCGCTGACCACAGAGGCAAAGAGACCAAGGTGGGGAGCGGAGGAGAGCTCCACTGGCCTCCTGCCGAGCCCTAACCCTCCCCACCAGCCGCTCTCCTGTCCCGTCCCTGCACAGTCTGGCGCGACCGGCTGTCTCCATGGATGCAGACCCAGCAGGAGGAAGTTGTGGGCCCGTTGAGGCCACATCAAACAACCTGCAGAGCACTTTTCTGTTTGAGAAGCAGGAACCACACAGCTCTTTAATCCTCACACACCAAGTGCTGCGAGCTCCCTCACCAGCCACTGTGGCCACCAGGCTCAGATTAACCAGCCTAGAGGTACATTAAGTGCCAGTATCTTTATGGCAGCAGCTCCCATCCCATCCAGAAGCTGTCACCCCCTCGCCATCACTTGCTACCTGTATTCTGTCCTGGACAAACATCCACACCCCACCCTCTGCACTGAACAGGTTGCCACGGGTCAAAGCCATGGAATTCCTTGGCTCTGCCCAGGAGAAGGCACCAAGCCAGACAGGAACAGACAGATACCCAGGAGAGCTTCAGGAAAGCTTTTTATTCACAAAAAAGTCAGCATCACCAAGCAACAGAAAGATCCATCTGCCACATGGGAAGAGTGACCATTCAGTCAGCAGGAAAACAGAGTGTTTGCACAGAAGAGTTAGGGTCACAGTCAGGAACCACAGCACCATGTGGAAAGTCTCTTTCTGAGAGACCATAAACGCCCCTGAACTTGAATAAGTCCTTCCTTGCTCCCTGAAGCACCTGGTGCTCTCTCCAGGTGGCTCTGCCACACACAGAGATGTGTTTGACCAAATATTCACATTTTAAAAAAATAAAAGGCTTTCTCGCCACATTCATCTGAAGTGGAAAACGTCACCCCACGGAGCTGGAGTTCTCCTCAGCTGCTGCTGTCCATGAGGTCATGTCACGACCGCAGTGCTGCAGCTCCACTGCTTCTTCATAACACCACAAATGCCCCACGTACTTGGGAATGCCCTCCTACAGATCTGGAGTCCCCAACCTCTGTTTCAGCATCAAGTACTGCAGGAGAAAGAAAATCAAGTGTTAAATCCCAGAGACCAAGAAGTAGGAAAGCACCCGCCCTCACAGATTAGCCAGGAAAAACATTGCTCTTTGCCAGAGTTCACCTTCCAAACAAAGCAAACAGCAGCTCGTTAGGCCAGTGGAGGACGAGGAACACAGTGCTGCGTCGTAGGGACTGGGGAATTATCAAACTAACGACATCTCTGCAGCCAGACAGGAGCAAAGCTTGTAACCAGATCTAAACAGCTCATGTTTTCCTTCATCATTCCTTTTTTTCCACCCCCCATACCCAGAGAAGGAAAAAAAAGGGCACTGCCACCATCCCATCCAATCCTGTTCGACACCAGTCCCGCCACAGCGGGCACCGCTCTGGCCACCCACAGGCACTGGTCTGAGCCACTGTTTTGGAAGAGGCAGGGCCGGGCCCTTACGTTTTTACGGCTGACAATAGCTTGTTGCAACCACGTCAGCTCCATGATCAAGTGGTTTCTGTAGGACTGGAGACCTGACCGAGTCCGAGGAAGCTGCTTGATTTCCTCAAGTGGAATTCCTGCAAAGAAACGGAAGAATAACTTATTATCAGAACAAAGATTCAGACTGCACCCCCTGTCTCTCTTGCACCGAGTTGTTCTAACATCTCCAGGATATTCCCAAGGTTTTTGTTCTCCAAGGACCTCACCACCAGGTCACTCAGAGAGCGCATGCAGCGCCCTGGCTCCCGCCTCTTACCCAGACAGGCTTCAAGGGACTCTGCCTCCAGGACACTGCTGTCATTTTGCCACTCCTGGCTCTCTGCTGGGGCACTGCACCCCTTTTCAGTGCATTTATCGGCATCACCCCTGGGATTTGGGGGCCTCACTCCATCGCCTTCACCCCTGGAGCTCAGTTCTTTCTTGCTCTGCAGCTGGGCTGTAGGTTTCTCACCGCTGCGGCCCCAGTCCCGTTCTGGTTCAGAGGTGGCCAGCTCCTTCTGTGGGTTTTCTGTGCTGGCCTCATCCCGCGGTACAACCTCCTTGTGTGGTACAGCCTTGTCCTGCAGTACAACCTCCTTGTGTGGCACAGCCTTGTCCTGCAGTACAACCTCCTTGTGTGGCACAGCCTTGTCCTGCAGTACAACCTCCTTGTGTGGTACAGCCTCGTCCTGCAGTACAGCCTCCTTGTGTGGCACAGCCTCGTCCCGTGGTACAACCTCCTGGTGTGGCACAGCCTCCTGCGGACCTGAACCTGTCCCCTGCGTTGGCTTCTAAAGGGGCAACACGCAAGAGATTGAAAATATATTGAAAAGAAAATATAAAGATGTGAAAGGTGGCTCTGTCCCAGCCAGAGATGTGCCGATAGCAGCACTCCTGCCACCACCGTGAACTTTTTAAAGGGCTTTCCTTCCAGAAACAGTAAAAACATTAAAGAGCTGTGCTCAGCCACCGCAGGAGGGTCTGGCTGTTCAGGACAACCGGGTGAGGTGGACACCCGGGGACAAGACCCACAGGGGTCACCTTTGCGGGTCAAGTGTTTGACTCGAGGCTGAGCTTCACCCGGAGGAAGAAATCCCCAGTTGGGGTCTGATGGACACAAATCGGGGAGAATCTTACAGGCTGGGGTGCTGAAATTATTGTTTTTAATTTGGTTCCGGGGACTACACTGCAAAAGTAGCACCTGCCCAGTCGGCCAGGCCACGGCACCCACCACACCCCCTCCCCAGGCTCAGGAGCCCCCTCCATCCCGACGCACAGACCTCGGGGAGGAACACGGGCCGTGGCAGGATGTGTCCCCTCCACTGCAGCTGGCTCAGGTCCCCCTCGATGTCCCGCACCACCTCCTCGTACTCTGCCCGCAGGCTCCGGAACCGCTTCCGCAGCAGGTAACCCCTCACGCAGGCCTGT